GGGAGGGGAGGGGAGGGGAGGGGAGGGGAGGGAAGGGAAGGGAAGGGAAGGGAAGGGAAGGGAAGGGAAGGGAAGGGAAGTTGCCACACAAGCATGGACCTGAGTTTGCTCCCCCAGAACCCTAATGAAAAGTCAGGTGAGGTGGTGTGTGCCTGTGAACCCGGGGGCTGGGGAGGTAAAGACATGGCTCTCGGTCAAGCAAGCCCCTGCCAGTGACAGGCCCTGTCTCAAATAAAACCAAGGTGAACAGTATCTGGAGGAATGAAACCTGAGGCTATTCCCTGGCCTCCACATGCACATGCACATATGTGAATATCCACCCTCCATACACACATACAACTCTCTCATTGGAGGCGGAATGTAAATAAACCAATTTCTCCCAGAGCCTACGAAGGCCATCTAAATCAAGATAAACGTTTGTTCCTTTTCTCCCTAAAGATTCAGCTGGATCACCTCACTCCGATGCCTGCCTCTCAACAAAGCTCTACAGTCAGCTGAACACCAACCCTGTCATTCTTGTTCTTGCCTTAACCATCTCCTTCCCAGCCCATCACTACAGCTTCCTACCTGGCCGAGTGTTCTCCAGGCTCATCCCCCTCCTTCTCAAGGTATTCCATAATCCCTGCCAGATGAACCCTCAGGAGCAGGCGGGCAGGCAGGCAGAGAAACAGACAGACACACGCACACTTCCCACTTTAAAAAGAGGTGTAGATAGCACCTCCTGATTCAAGGACTGCTTAGCTCACATCAGTGGTTCTCACAGAGTCGTACGCCCCCCAACACTTCCACATATTTTCCCTACCCTGCCCACTCCCCACTCTGTATCCTTGCCTATCTCTACAGCTCTGGACCGCTTCCACCTATCACACTAGGTACAGACACTCCCCTAGGCAGACTCTCAGCTTCCCAGCATTACATCTTCTACTTCTCCGTTATCTTCCACAAAACTGGTCACAGATAATTGCCAATCCACTGAATCTACAGTCACTGTTCATGAGTTTATTCATTATTCTGACACTAGACATTCAGATCTTTCTGGTCATTGCACTTCAATGAACATTTGGCACATGTTTAATACTTTCAGAGCTTGGTTTACTCGCCAGGGAAGTACTGGTAATATTGGTGTGTGTTCCATAGGGTGGGTGGGGATAAGGAAAGCCTCTCACAATGGCAATGGCGCTCAGCAAGTCTTCCTGCACAGCCGGAATTCAACGACACTTTCAACCTCCTTCCCTTCCTATTCCTAAGCCCTCTTTTCATTTTTGTTACTGCAATAACATTCCAGAACAAAAAGCTTCAGGAAGAAGGTTTACGTCACAATTCCAGGTTACAGTCCGTCACTGCAGGGAAGTCACAATGGTGTGAGCTTGATGCTCCTTCGTGGCATCCACAGTAGAGAACTGCGAGAAATGAATGCACGCACACTTCATGCTCAGCTAGCTTTCTATGCTATCATACATGTCTGGGTCCAAACCAGGGAACGGTGCTGGACCCCTGTTGATCGAGGAGGTTTCTGTCCTGCCCAGTTCCCACAGCCATTCAGGCCCAAAGAAACACACAGAGGTCTACATCAATTATAAACTGATTGGCCTATTCGCTCAGGTTTTTTATTATCTCTTATAACTTATATTAGCCCATAATTCTTGTCTGCGTTAGCCACATGACTTGGTACCTTTTTCGGCGAGGCAATCACATCTTGCGGCCTCTGTGGCTTGGTCACGACTGCAGGCTCAAACTTCCCTCTTCCCAGAATTCTCATTGCCCCACCTCTACTTCCTGCCTGGTCACCCCACCTATACTTCCTATCAGCATTTTATTTAAAATAATGCAAGTGACAGGATAAAAGACCATTGTCCCACAGAACTCCCCCCCTTTTCTTTAAACAAGAACTCTGAATCTAATATCCCTTGTTTAGCTTTTCTCCTGACAATTATTTATTACAACTTGTAACCAACATTCTAAACAACGGAAAATATCCATGGTCCATTTTTTGGGAAAGGGTGATGTGGGAGTCACCTCTGTATACTGTGATTACCACTAATGAATAAAGAAACTGCTTTGGACCTATAGCAGGGCAGAACTTAGGTAGGCAGGGAAAGCTAGGCTGAATGCTGGGAGGAAGAAGGGCAGAGTCAGGGGACACTATGGAACTGCCACCAGAGTTAGACATGCCGAAACTTTGCCAGTAAGCCACTTCCACATGGTGATATACAGATTAACAGAAATGGGTTAAATTAAGATGTAAGAGTTAGCCAGTAAGAAGCTAGAGCTAATGGGCCAAGCAGTGGTTTAATTAATACAGTTTCTATGTGATTATTTTGAGTGCAAGTTAGCTGGGAGGTCGGAAAGAATGAGCGACCCCCCCCCCACCAACAGGCCCCAGTGTGCTGGTCCTACCCATATCAATGCAGGCAAGCAAGACAATACCCCCAGACATGCCCCAAAGCCAGCCTGATCTAGACAATCCCTGATTGAAGCTTTCTTCCCAGGTGATTGTAGGTTTTGCCAAATTGGTAATTAGAAATAACCATCATACCACATAGGAACCGGAGTTCAATCTTGGCTATGGGATTTGGGGGAGAGGGTGGCAGTAGGGAGATTACTCAACCACTCAGCTGCCAGGCAGACCTAAATCAGGCACTGACAGCAAAGTGTTTGAAGAAATGAGCTACTATCTGGCTACCTTGGCTATGACATCAGTAGACAATATTATCTGGTGGGGCAATACACGGTGTATGATACAGATCGGTGATAATGGAATTGTGAGGTCACATGTGATATTTTCCGGACAACTTTGTCTGTAAAAGGAAAATCAGCCTCAACAGATTAGAATCCTCTGGAAGAGCAGCAAGCACTGTTAATATCTGAGCCATCTCTCCAGGCCCAGAATTCCTATCCTGTTTTCCACGACCAGTAATTAAACCCAAATCTCACACATAAGGCTCAAGTGCTTTGCTACCGAGCTACCTTCAGTTGTACTCAAGCTTTTAAGGAGAACATGCTAGTCCTTACTGCAACCACCTCACCAATCTCCAAATAGTCATATCACGCTTACTTTACACACAACATCAGAGAAATCTTTCCTGCCTGGTGCACTGCTATTATAGGCTGTATAAGTGGTTAAAAAAAAAATCTATGATTAAAAGAACTCCCAACAATTAAATGAGGAAATATCAAATATCAGACAGCTCACAGAAACTTGTGACTCCAGTTCCAAGAGCCAAAGTCCTCCTTCTGGCCTCCAGGTCATAATGCTCACGTGCCCCACCCCTCATCCAGACACACAAGCATATACACAAATAACAATTCTTAAAATCTTTTTAAAAGTTGGGTACGATTTTCTGTTAGGACAATTGTCTTAGGACCTTCTGCTGAAAGCAGATTGGGTTGTCAGCTGAAATGGGAGACTGTGCCTAAGGATCACTTGCACCAGGAGGCTGAAGGCCTGCCTGGGCGTTACAGGGGGACTCTGTCACAAAAGGGAAAAGAAGAATGCGAGGCAAATGAATGCAGTGGGCTGCTCCTCTTAATCCTGTTATGGCTTCAGTTCAGTTCAGTCATAGGAGCAGTTAGCTACTTATATGAGAGCTAAAGCTATGGTTTAAGTTTTAATTACTGTGCCTAAGAGATCTCTAAAGCAAAAAAAAAAAAAAAAAAAAAAAAACGCCTCTAATCAGTAAGCCTTACCTAAGGACAGAGACTTCCTGAAATGCCGGAGGCTGTTGCTTTTGGAAGATAACACAAGCCACGTATTTTCACTCCCCTGAACACATTTGTTTGACCCAACTGTTCTCTTGATCACTTGATCACAGGTGAGAAGTATAGAGGCAGGAAATAGGTCAGGATGTATACTTGCCTGATTGGATGTAGGCAGGAGGAACGTAGGCAGGAGGAACGCAGGCAGGAAGTACGTCCGGATATATGCTCGCCCCTGGTCAGACCTGATGGGAAATACAGCAGCCTTAAGGGGTTGCCTTTATAAGCCTCTGCAAAATGTGACTTGTGGGCACTTTCTGGGACCGCCAGGAAGGACCTGGCCAGAGTCTATCATCTTGGCAAGTATTTAATGACAGCTTGCTTCAAATCTGACTCCAAAATTGTCATAGTTTAATATTAAGTTACCAGCTACATACAGAGGGCTTGAGCTTGATACTTCTTCATTTAGTTCTTGAGGGTTCTTTTTAAATATCTCTCCTTCTTTCTTCCCTCATCCTCTCTCTCTCTCTCTGTGTGTGTGTGTGTGTGTGTGTGTGTGTGTGTGTGTCTGTGTGTGTTTGCACATGTGCCCATTCCATGGAGAGCAGAGATCTTCCCTGCAAGATGCACTGTTATGACAGGCTATTTAAGTGGTTTTATCGTTTCAATTTATGATTAAAGACATTCTGACAACAACAAGAAAAGCTCGGAGAGTTAAGCAAGGGATTAAAAACAGAGGTTCGAAATGGATAGTCATGATTATCAATCTCTATTATCAATTGAAGGAATTTAGAATCATCATGGAAACACGTCTCTGGGTGTGTCTAGGAGGGTGTTTCCAAAGAGGTATCACTGAGGAGGGAAGGCCCATCCTTGAAGATGAGCAGGCCCATCCCCAGAACTGGCGTCTTAAACCGAATAAAAAGAAGAACATGAACTGAGCACTAGCATTCAGTTTCTCTGCCTCCTGACTGTGGACGCCATGTTGGACCAGCTGCCTTGGATTCCTGCTGCCATGACTTCCCTACCATGATGGAAGACCACACATCTATCTGAACTGTGAGCCAAAGGAACCCTTAGGTGGCTTCTGTCATTTACACTGTCACCACAATGAGAACGTAAAAACATATCAAAGCACAGATAAAACGTGACAAGTGTATGCTAGGGACATCTAACCACATTATACTTCTGCTTCCTTCCAGACAGGGTCTCACACAGCCCGGCAGGCCTCAAACTCACATGACCTTGAATGTCTGAGCCTCCTGCCTAAACCTTCTGAAGACTGAGATGACAGACTGCAACATTAAACCCAGTTTACCTGCCCCTGGGGCTAGAACCCAGGCTTGGTAAATGCTAGGCCAGCACTCTGCCAACTGCGCTACATCCCAGTCCTAAGAAAACATTCTCACTAGGAAGAAAAACAAATTCTGCTCAAACTGATTTGCAAGTTATTAAGAACCAAGAGAAGGTCAGAACAGAAGCGAATCCTGAGGCTGTGTGTTCCCTGACCCTGAGGCCCCAGGGTGCCCAGAACTGGGAAGGCCTGGAGCCCAGAGAGAGGAATCCCTGACTCAGATCCTGCCTGCAGGCAGGACTGGGAGGCCAGAGGCCTTCCTTCACCAGGTCACAGTGCACCTAGCAGAAAATCCCATTCTCTAGACCATAGCCAGATTACACAAAACTAGAAAATGACCTCACTTCCTTCCTACTGCTCCAAGCCTACCCCCCAGAGCAGGGGCCCAGCAGCCCAGGCAATGAGTTGGGCAAGGAAGCACTGGGTACAATGGCCTTACCCCAGCAGGCTCAATGAAACCATGTCCACAGTCATTCTGAGGCGTGAGTCTAAGTTGCAAGGGGCTGGAAACCCACTAATGGCTCCAAGAGCCCTGCACAGCAAGCGCCCTGACTCTAAGCTCCTCCTCCTTCCAGATCCACCACCAGCAATGGCCTTTTCCTTGCCCAAGTCTGTCTGGATACTCCCGAAGGTCTTAGCTAAAAGTACTGAATGTAAGGACCCAGAATTTCACCAGAATTATGCAGGGATGTTAGTAGCCACACAGAACAGCAGCAGCAGCCCACATTGCTGATAGCTCTGGAACATGAAAGATGCTTCTGAAGTTCCAGCAAATTTACCAGAATCCCGACAGGAGCCATAATCATTAAGCTACTTGCACAGGAAGGAGCCGAAGCAAGACATTGAAAGAACTCCACAAGTGGCTGCCGTCCCCACTGATTGCTGGCTGCAGTGTCCCCAGTCTTTCTGCCATTTGTCTTTGTGCTCCCTATTCTGGGACTAGGAACCTCCCCAAAATCCACAAACTGACATCAAGTGCTGGGGAAGCGAGGCGGGACCAGCTGCATCCGATTTGCCTCCTAGGCGATTCTAGAGCCTGTGAAGCTGGCAATCAATAATAACCATAACCCATGGGATGGGGTAAGAGGAGACAAGGAATAGGGTATCAGTGTGAATCCTGAATCTTTCGACCTCAGCTCCCACAGCATAAGGTCTTTTCCTCCCAAGGAGCATAAATTAACACACCACTCAGTGAAAGCCCTGAGAAATACAGCCAGCTGCTGTAAGCAAACAGTCCTCTGGTGGCCCTTAAGATGTTGAGTGAGTGGCTTAATCACCCAGCAGGGTCTAGCAGGCAATACAGAAAACCTGAGGAGACAGCCAGCAGCGAATGGAAAACATTATCATTTAAAGAAGGATTAATAACAAGTCTGTCTGGGCTGGAGAGACAGCTCAGTAGTCAAGAGCACTCACAGCTCCTGCAGAGGACCTAGTCTGGTTCTCAGCATCCACAGCAGGAAGTTCACAATCACTTGGAACTCCAGTTCCAGGGTATCTGTGCCCTCTTCTGGCCTCCTCCAGTACCTGCTTGCATGAGGTGCACAAAACTCACGCAAATATACTCACATATACATAATTTAAACCTTAATGGGTAGATGGATGGATGGATGAATGGATGATGAATGAATGGATGGATGGAGGGAGGGAGGATGGATGGATGGAGGATGGATAGATGAAGGATGATGGATGGATGATGGATGGAGAATGGATAGATGTATATATGTATGTGTGTATATATTGGGTATGTATATGTGTTTGTATGTGTATATATGTATGTGTGTATGTATATGTGTAAATGTGTGTACATGTGTTGTGGTTTCAATAAGTATGGCCCCCAACAGACTCCTTAGCCATAAGGAGTGGCCTTGTTGGAGGAAGTGTATCTCTATGGAGGTGGGCTTTGAGGTCTCATATATGCTCAAGGCATACCCAGTGGGCAGTTTACTTCCTGTTGCCTGCAGATCAAAATGTAGAACTCTCAGCTACCTCTCAAGCATTATGTATGCCCACACACTGCCGTTCTTCCTGTCCTGACAGTAATGGACTAAACCTCTAAAACTATAAGCCAACCCCAATGAAATGTTTTCCTTTTTAAGAGTTGCTGTGGTCATGGTGTCTCTTCAGTTAATGGAAACCCTAACTAAGACTGTATGTGTCTGTATGTGCATATGTATATGTGTGTATGTGTATATATGTGTATAGTTGTATACGTGTGTATATGTATGTGTGTGTAAGTATGTGTGTATGTGTGTTGTGTGTGGAGATCAGATAACTTGCAGAAGCCAGTTCTCTCTTTCCACGAGGATCAAACCCCGGTCCTCAGGCTTGTCGGCATGTGCCTTTACCCACTGAGCCATCTCACCAGCTCCAAAATCTCAAGAGAAATATGTTACAGGAGAACATGCTACATTGTTCCTCAAACTTCCCTGAACCCCTTGGGTGTATCCTAGGATTTAGAAGGGAAATACGCCACTGGGCAGATGTATGGCAGAGTTTCTAAATTGGAGAGGACCCACCTTAACTGTGAGAGGCAACTTCCACGCCCATGCCACGTGACAGCCACCTCATGCTCCTGCGGTAGGCCTTCACACCCAGGTGGGCCATACACCTGAACTAAGAGTCACAGAAAGCAACCCTTAGATGGCTTCTACAGGTTACTGTCACAGCAAAGAAGAAAACAATATACTCTCGCTCCTTGGGACTCATACCCTTGGGCTTCCAGGCTCCCCCACCCCTCCCCTCTTGGCTCCAGAGGCTCCATTTCTTACCTTTGCCCTGAGCCTGAGGGCTTTCCCGCTGTCAGCAGGCAAGGTGCCTGGGGCGATCCCTCACTCTGGCAGGGCCCTGAAACTATTTCTGCCAGGAGTCTTTGCTCAAAGTGTCTCAGGTAAAACATGTTACCTGCAGGAGCTCAGGCACTGACTTGCATTATCACAGCTGTGATAAAAACGCATCCAGTGGGCCTATAAGCTCACGGGGACATTCCTGAGTGTTTCCTCCAGTGCTGTGACTACCAGGCTGCAAAGGGCTGAGAAAATGGATGCAATATCTGTAGCCTTGAACCGACTCCAACCAGAGGGTGACAACTATCCTCAGGTGGCAAGCGGCTGCTCTGCCTTCGGCTATGTACAGAACTATTTTCCCACTTAGCTGTCATTTTTGCCACCTGCTCACCAATAGAAACACCCCCAGCACCCCACACCAGAGCCCAAAGACCAATCCAAGCTCTTTACAGTCTCCAGGGAAGGTAATGGAAACAGTCACCTGGGCCAGCGAGATGATACTTGCCACCAAGCCTGATGACATGTTTGGATCCCCAGGGTTCATGTGGTGAAAGGAGAGAACTAACCTCAAAATCTGCCTTCTGATCCCCCTACACATGTACTATGACATGTGGCACATGCGCCCATACACATGCATGGGCACACACACACACACACAATAAATAAATAAAATAGCCTTGGGCACACTGAACAATTGGTGTGTACAATACAATAAAGAAGTATTTTTCTCACTTTATGACAGATGAGAAAATAGATTCCACCCCAAGATCAGCCAGACTGACCCAAGGGTAGTCATTCCCCTTCCCCAGTACCATTTTGTTCTGGCTTTGCTTTGTTGTTTGACCAGCCTCCAACTCAGGAGAATACTGGGATTATAGTCCTCCACCGTGTTTGTGGCCCCCTGTACACCAGGCAAGTGCCTGACCAACTAAGCTACATCTCCAAACTCCATTTTATCATTCTTCAAAAGAAAGAAGGACCCAAAGTCTGAAAGCTTTTCTTGAACTGAGCCTAGAACTAAATTCCAGCACTCAGGAAGTGGAGGCAGAAGGTTCAGAAGTTCAAGGTGATCCTCAGCTACCTAGTGAGTATACCTTGTGTCAACAAT